GAAAAACTTTGTCAGAATATTTGCTACAAGTCCTGTTAATTGCATCCTCCAGTCTGTCAACTCAAACAACACTTTCCCCAAAATTGCGAGGCTAGTTTGGTGTGATGATGATGTTGATTTTGTGTGTGTGTGTGTGTGTGTGTCTGCCTGTGGTTGTTATGAGGGTTCAGTGAGGTAACACCTGCACATAGTAGGTCCTCAATAGGTTGCTATTGTATCTTTTCCGTGTGTGTGTGTGTGTGTGTGTGTCGGGGGTGGTCTCTTTCTCTTATGTTATTTCTCTTAATATAGGTACAACATCCTTTGTGAGTTGTACGGTTGGGCAGGGAGATAAGATGGACCTTTAGTTCACCTTAGCTCATTCAAGGCTTTTACAAAAAAACCTTGATGCCTTAGTCTCTTCTATTATTGATATTTTCTACTTTTATGTAATTCTGAAGGTTTTGAAATATGGATAATTTAGAATTTATAATCTTAAAGTGTCATCAGTTTACATGTCTTGTCCCTGTAAGAAAGATTATGCTGGTCAAAAGCTATTATTGGCTGTTTTTCTTTAAACATAAGAGCTGCCTATGGGAGCAAGTGTCTGAAGCCCCGATTGATAGCTTCCATTAGCGCTTTGCATTTTACTTTCTCTCTGACTCATTTTTGACATAAACATTAATTTCATTTTTCTGAATCCTGTTTAATCTAGTCAGTGACATTTTGTTGAAGGGTAACTATGTACGGTAGTACAAAGTATACAGAGATGAAAGCTGTTTTCATACATGTTGATTGATCTTATTTTCTTGTTCTTGTGGAATTGGTGAGAATAGTGCTGAATCGTCATAAACAAAACCAAACACCTGATCTCTTTTTAAAAATTTTATATCATACATTCATTATAAAGTGAATATTATTCTCTAAAGGGCATACAACTTTTATTTATTTATTTTTAACATTTAAAAAATTTTCAATTACAGTTGACATTCAATGTTATATTAGTTTCAGGTGTAACTCATAGTGGTTAGACATTTATATAACTTATGAAGTGCTCACCTCAATAAATCTAGTACCCATCTGACACCATATATAGTTATTATAATATTATTGACTATATTCCCTATGCTGTATTTTACATTTCTGTGACTGTTTTTATAACTGGCAATTTGCACTTCTTAAGCCTTTTCACTTTTTTCAATTATCCTCCCAATCCCCCTTCCATCTAATGGTCATCAATTTGTTCTCTGTATCTATGAGTTTGTTTCTGTTTCATTTGTTCACTTATTTTGTTTTTTAGTTTCTATATATAAGTGAAATCATATGGTATTTATCTTTCTCTGTCTTATTTCACTTAGCATAGTAACCAGATTTGTTAATGCAAATTTGTTACAAACTATCTGGGATACAAAACCCTACTAGAATAAAACACAAAATTCTGGAATAGGGAATATAAAAATGACCAAAGCTCACTTCTCTTTAATAACTTCTGTCAGGCATTCACAGGGGACTGTTCTCTTTGTTTAATAGGAGTTGAATAGGGCTGTGAATTGAATTAACACCTCTCAATAGCATATCAATGAAAGGCATAAATTGAGTTATTGTATAAATATGTATTGACTTTTATTTATAGAAAGGAGAATCAGTAATCACAAAATCTGTATTTATATTATCTATTTAGATGTCATGATATTTATAATAAAATCATAAGCATGGCTTCAGTTTTGCAGTGAAGAAAAAGAAGAATGACACATGCAAAGGAAAATGATTTTGTTTTTATTATAAATTACACAGGAACATTTATTTAAAGAATTAGAGCCTTAACATCACCAGCCAAGTGATTACAGCATTTCTGAGTCAATGAATGAATGTGATGTATGCATTATTGATAGAAATTTTGAAACCATAGCATGTCAACTACATATGGTTTGTGTGTGTTGTTTTTCTAATAGTTAGAAACCAGTGCCTCAAAGAAACCCCAATTAAAATGCCAGTAAATTCAGCAGGAACAGAGAAGTTAATCACAGGTGTCATCAGCCCTGAGAGGCGGTAAGTGTTTTGTTTTTTTAGATTTTTTGATCTTTAATATATGTAATCAGATTTTCTTTTTTCATCTGTGATAAATCTGATCCAGGTAAACCATCATGTAGATTCTGTTGGAGACTCTAGGGATGTCTGTTTGTGGGGGATGGCCTGTGGACATTAGGAGCTGTTGCCACTGCCTTCCTCATGGGGTGGAATTGTGAAACTCATGAGCAGTGTTTAATTTAAAATACAGCAGGCTGGGAAGACAGTGGCCGTGGTTTTTTTCTCTGAGGCCCATATTTCCCTACACTTCTGCCAGCAGATAGACATCTACTAACAGTAGCAGTCGCTCAAACAGTAAAGATACTAAGGGGTGAGAAAACCCATTCTTGTATGAATGGTTCGGCAGCCTAGGTAACCCTTCATTGTCTTTTATAGCTATTATTTTAAGCAGGATCCATTTTGAGGACAATTGAAGGAAGTAGAATGTGAACTAGATATTAGATGATACTATTATTAATTTTCTTGATGTTATAATGGTATTGTGGTTATGTAGGAGAACGTCCTTATTTATTGGCGATGTTTGCTGAAGTGTTTCAGAGTGAAGTATCATGGTATCTTCAGATGGGTTACTTTCAGATGGCTCAGCAAAGATGTACATTTATTTAATGTATTTATTATCTGTTGGGTTGTTGGAAAAGTCATGACGTATTTTTTCTGTTTTTTGTTGCAAAAATGCGTCATGACTTTTCTGACAACCCAATATATACATAGATAAAGCAAATGTGGCATAATATTGACAATTGTTGAATCTAAGAGGATATATGGGTATTCATTGTACTATTCATTCAACTTTTGTGTATGTTTGACATTAAAATAAAAGTCAGGGGGTAAATAGTTTTGCTAAGTGGCATTTGGCTGGGGGGATGGCTACATTCCAGTGGGAGGTGGCTTTTGTGCTCCCTGAGGAGGAGTGAGGTGGGCTGGCCCTGGCATACCTGAATGAGGCCCACCTAACAAACAGGACAAAAGCGTGACCTGTGAGGGCCCCAGTAAGCAGGAGGCCCGTCTCTACTTGTGGGCTTTTTGGGTTTTTTTAAGGTGTCGCTCAGTGGAACTGGATCTCAATCAAGCACATGTAGAGGATACTCCAAAAAGAAAAGGAACCAAAGTGTTTGGAAGCCTTGAAAGGGGGTTGGATAAAGTTATTACTGTGCTTACCAGGAGCAAAAGGAAGGGCTCTGCCAAAGATGGGCCAAGAAGACTAAAGGTAAGTGGACTGGAAATCCTTAATGTGGGTTTCAGAGGTGACTGCTACTGAACTACTTTTTAAAAAAAGAAAAGTACTAAATGAATGAGTTGATTAGTATGTTTTGTTTACTTATTCATTCATTTAGTTAATATGTATTTTTTGAGCACCTAAAATACGCATGTAGTACTGTGCAGTGGGTTTGAGAATGCAGAGGTCAATTAGATGCGGCTGCCCTTTTCAAGGAGGAAGTAAGTATAATTCAAATATTTCAGTTTAAGTAAAGCGGTTAATCACAGAGGCAACGTGGAAGTGGGGGGGCGTGGGGCACATACGAGGAACTGCCTTAAGGATGCTTTAAGGATGGGGACTTGAGCTCCGTCTCTGGCACACAGAAGAGCCTCTGGCACCTGGATACCCTCGAGGGCCCTCATGGAATATTTGAGTGCATGGGAAGTTAATTTGAACTTTGAGTGTGGTCTGTGTGAAGAAAAGAGTGAGCCACAGGCTGGGAAGGTAGGCTGGCTAAGAGATTTGGACCTTATTTGATAGACTTACTATGCTTTAAAAGATTGACTGTCAGTGGTGTGGACACTGTATTTGGTGGGAAAGGAAAAGAGAAAGAAGTCATTAGTAGGTATAAAATACTTCTTACTTTTCTGGGTTCTGTCTGAGCATTCATTCAAACATTTAATGAATGACATTTTTGTTTGGGGAGGTAAGAGGTAAAGGGATGAATAAGACACAACACATGGGCTTGAGGGACTCGCCGAGTGGCAGTGAGAGCAGACAAGGATGTTGTCACTTTGACACACTGGTCTCAGTGCTGTAAAAAAACATGTTCCAGGAAGGATGGGCCCAAAGGAGAGAGAAGAAGGTAGTTGGGGACTGGGTCTGTGCTTAGTTTTTGCACTGAGTCTCATTTTGAGCAAATCCAGGCAAGTTGGGGGAAAGAAAATGCTGAGCTGTTTTGGGCAGAAGGGTGCTTCAGGGGAGAATGTGCTGAGGTCCCATTTCTATCTTAAAGTGGAAGAAGATAGGACTTACCCATTAGCATTTGTTGCCTTGTTGAACTTACATAATACACTGAAAAGTTTTATGTTACATGTGGCTGTTATTCGGCATATTTTATCCTTCTATTTTTAGATTTCTCTAATTGGAGACAGTTGTAAAGTATTCCAAACTCTGACATTAGGATTAAGAAAACCGTAGGGCCATTTCCCTGAAAAACATTAAATAATAAAGAAAATTAAGGAAACTTGTCCAATTATATATATCGAGAAGCTAAGCAGTATCAAATACTAATGGATAAAGTAGGATTAACTCTTCATTTTACAAAAAGAATCACTTAAATTGTGATTTGAAAGTGTTCAGTGTATTATTTTCTTGACAAAACCAGTTTAGTTTGGTGAAAGAGTCCTGGGCTGTGATCCAGGAGACAGAGGCCCATCATAGCTATGCCACCTGTTCCTTTTATAACTTGGAGCTGGGGTTCTCGAACTCCAGTCATTTAACACTTACCTTTACATCAGCATATCAGCATATTACCTGCACTATTATTTATCTGGCATTTTTTTTTATATTGACTCTTTTCTTAAAAAAAACCCAGATTTATAGGGATATAATTGATGTACAATAAACTGCAGATATTAAAAATGTACAGTTAACATACTTTTAGCCTTATGTATGTACTTGTGAAACAATCAGCACAATTAAAATGACTTAGAAAAAAATTTGTGTTTACTTAAAAGGAAACTATATTTTATTAGTTTTTGCTAATTATATTTTCTCTAAATCCGAGTGGCACAAATACATAAATATTAAAATAAAAAAATTTATTAATGTACCATCAGAATTATCTTGTGTATCTCCAGTGACAGTTTATATCACATTCTGGGAAACCCTACCTTAAGAAATGTATTATATATCTCTTCTTTGGGACATAGGTTCTTAATTTGAAAAGTAAGGTAGCTGGATGCTTTCCAAGCCTAGCATTTTGTTATTTATAAAAACTCAAATCCAAAAGACATAGAAAGTATGATTTTGTTTGAGTGAAGTACCACTAAGAAGATCGGGATTTCTGTCTGTCTCCAGGACCTATTAAACAATGTTGGGCACATAGTCAGCCTTTAGTAGCTAGTTGAATGGATGGATGGATGGATGGATGGCTAGATATCAATTAAGAATGAAATTATCTGAGAACTCTGCTCTCAGTGAATGAGAAAAACAAACAAACTTGATACTACTTTTTGAAAAGGAATACTTGTTATATTCATTCTCACATTGAATTGTCATAAAATCAGCTCCTGGGATTCTGTAATGTTCTTTAAATAGGAAAGAATTAAGGAAACATATCCAACTGTATACAAACGAAATATTCTAGGGCATTTGTTTCACCTTCCTACAGTTTACATTTTAGAACTGTTACTGTCTCTATTATAGCAGAGGAAGGGAGAAACAGGTAAAGCTCAAACGGGTAGACATTATTTAATATTTATTTCTTAAAAATTATTGGTAGGAAAGGAAGATGAAAGTATTAAAAGGATGATCCGGATATAGTTTCTGATTTCACTAAGCTTTCCTTGTGCCATCTTAACCCAACTTACCAAGGGTTGGTTGTAAATTCTTTCAGTATTTTTCTTGAAGCATTTCCATTTGAAATGGTTCTATATGGAGGAGTTTGGGATCTCTAAATCAGGTAGGATGGTCTTTGTGTTGGTGTAAAGATTTACTTCTCACCCCATCTTTTTCTTTTTCAAGCTTCACTATAATGTGACCACAACCAGATTAGTGAATCCAGATCAACTCTTGAATGAAATAATGTCTGTTCTTCCAAAGAAGCACGTTGACTTTGTACAAAAGGGGTAAGAAACACACTGACATGCTGTTGCATGTATTACTTGATATCTTTTGAGCTTTGAGAAAACATGGGTTGATCCTCCTCTCCCCTTTAAAAAATATGTTTCTTCCACGTCATTCCCAAAAGTTTTTGTGGTAGTGTCATTGTTCATAATTTAATCTCTTTTGTTTCATACGAACTATAGAAATTTTTTTAATTGCCTATATTGTCACCACTTTCAAAGTTAGACTTTTTCAAAATAGGAAAAGCTGAACTTCCAGTTGTTTTTTTTTTACATCCTTTGTTTTCCTTTGATGTTCTGCTTTACAATAATATTTATAAATTGTAACCTAAATTTATGAGACACCTCAAACAAACCAAGGATTTACATAAACTTCTTCTCTTTATGACTTGATATTTTACAAGATTAGGTTTTCAGTACTTTAGGAAGTCATTTCACCTTAATTCTTTCCCACTGTTGAATGAACAGCCTCTGTGGTTATGATCTCATGGCCTGAATAGACCTCTTTTGATTACTTAAGGTGTTCGCATTTCCAAACATTTCCTCTCAGTTGTATCATTTTAAAATTTCATTATTAATGCAGCTAAGAAGAGCCACTAATAGATTTAACAAAAACCTTTAAATAGAATAGTCAATTTAGAGTTAAGATTTTAAGAAACAATCTTTTGCAAAAGTAATTTTGCTTTTTATTCTCTGTAAATGTTGGCAAGCATTCCTTATTTGAACTTAGGCTTTCTACTTTAGACTTCATGCGAATACATTGAACTCATGCTTGGGTTCAGTAATAGTTCCAGCATCTCTAGCCAAATCCATATCAGAAAGCTTTCAATTATCTTCTCTTCAGCATATGGTCTCTACTGGATCACTAACTGGCTGTTAACCAGGAAATTGTTCTAACTTCCTGATGAGCCAGAAGGTCTCTGTCTTGATCCTTTTTTTCTTTTTACCTTCTCTGTTTGTTTTTACCTTCTTTGATACAAAACAGAACAAAAACTAAGTTTTTCAGTTGTGTGATTGTATTACTCTCAGTTATATTCCATTATTATCTTTTTCCAATCAGGAAAAATTACTTTTTATCTTCCACATGACCAGGAACCATCACTACAGGGTACTCCTTTCGGTATATCTGATATTGACTGCTTATTTTAAAAAATCAAGCCTCAAAACATAACTAAGTTAGTAAGAAAAAGAGCAACATTTTGTGAAATTCATAATGCATGACAGATACAAGTAAGTCCTCCACACTTCTGCAGAACAGTGCCTAATCATGTGCCCCTAAGTACTTAGGGAACTGAAATTTAAAATCGATCCTGTCGTTTATTTGTTTGTGTGTATTGAAAATTAGTAAGACAAATAAAACTAAAATATAATGTAAAGTAATTAAAAAATTGATGTACATGAATTTAGTTTATGCAACTTTTCAGGAGCATACCTATTTCTTAAGATGTGTTTAGGCTTCATTTAGTCTGGGCCTTTCCTTTGTCAGAATAGTTAGCATGGCAGTTCTAATTATATATGCCATACGTTTCAACCGTGGAAATGTACCATCTCCTTGGTCTTTTCTTTTGTAACTCTGCCATAAAGTGTAACAATCATAACTTCTTATTACTATTGGAAAAACCTCGAAAACACGTGTTCTTCTGACCGGTTGGTGGCTTCAGCTTTATTTATATGAAAAACAGAAGTTGCCAATGAGGTGCATGAAAAAAATATTCTTAATCTTCCCTGAGCTTTCCTTTGTTGTGAACATTGTGGAAATGGCCTAATGTTCATGGATTACACTGTTGAAAGAGTTGCATAAAGGATGCCAGAAGATTTCTTGAGCATGAATGGCATGTATAGCTATGAAAGAAGGGCTTTTCTTTGGAGCAAGGGAGAATTCTGGTAAAGCCTTTTCATCCTTATTCTTTCTTAAGATCCTAGTTCAGCTTCTGGGAGAACACCAGTCATACTCCATCACTAAAGCATAGCTAGGTCATTTGGAAACTGTAAGCAGTAATATATTGCTTAATAGGAAATAACGGTATATTTTCTCCACCAGCCTCCTAGAGGCTTAGAAATCTCTTGTACTATATAGAATATTCATGGTTCTACTAACTGGCTTTTATCTTGTTCTTCACAGCTATACACTGAAGTGTCAAACACAGTCAGATTTTGGCAAAGTGACAATGCAGTTTGAACTAGAAGTATGCCAGCTTCAAAAACCCGATGTGGTGGGTATCAGGAGGCAGCGGCTTAAGGGTGATGCCTGGGTTTACAAGAGATTAGTGGAAGACATCCTATCTAGCTGCAAGGTATAATTGATGGGTGGTTTTCATCCTGCTGGATGAGTATGGGTGCGATACAGCCTATGTGGAGACTGGTGTGTTTGGTTTGATTTTTAAAGTCCTTTGGAACTACAAACTGGTTTCTAAAGAACTATCTTAAAAACCAGTATCTTTTTGTTTTTAAACAAAAGATATTGTTTTTTAGATGAATGTAAGGCCAGCCTATCTGTCATTATCTGTTCTGTCTCTTTTAATCATGTGGCTTTGTGTATTAATAACTGTTGACTTTCCTAGATTCACTTCCATATGTGAATGTAAGCTCTTAACTATGTCTCCTTTTAATGTGTAATTTCTTTCTGAAATAAAATCATTTGTGAATATAGCAGGCTTCTCCTCTTCTTTGTATTTAATTTTGATCCAAATAAAACCTCAAATGGCTTCCTGACTATTAAGTAGAGACTATTTGGAGTATGTTTTATCTGTTATCAAATATGCCTTGGGCAGAAAAACAGATAAGAATTCATTTGCATAATTTTTTCCTGTGTCTGATTTAAGTAGGATTTATTGAGATCGTTAACTAAGTCACAGCTGTGGTTACCAGAGTTAAACAACACATTTAATATGTTGAATAAAAGAGTATTGACTTCAGTAAGTGTGTTCGGTCAACAATGATAAGTATCTGAACTATGAACCTCCATGAAATGCTACTTTATGGTAATTTTTCTTAAGTCTCAATGTTGGCCCCAAATTTGTATTTTTATTTCATTTTATTGGTCTCTAAAGGCCAGCACTCAAGTTATATTTGTATGGATTTTACCAATTAAACTAGTTGGAGAAAAAATAGCACCGTCTCTAGTCAGTAGTCAGGGAGTATTTTGTCATTTATTCAATAAACATTTACTAAGTGCTAACAAGCATTAGGTCCTGGGGCTGAACAGGATACTGTCTAGTAAACTCAAGGAGTTTAGAGTCTGTTAGCAAGGGCAGATGCATAAACCAGTGTTTATAGCATAGAGGGGAGTTCAACTTGGGAGGAGAAAGGGATGATTTCTTGGAGGAAACAGTATTTGGACTTGAAGGATATATGAGTTCAACAGAAAGAGAGGAGGGGGTATGACATCCTTGACAGCAAGAACAGTATGTGCAAAGGCATGAAATTATAAAATGGCATGGTGTGTTGAGGGTGGAGGCAGAAGGCAATGCAAGGGGGAAATAGCAGGAGATTTTGAGGGTTGAAAGTTTAGCTGGAAATAAGTGATGAAAGAACTTGAATGCTCCACGAAACTATTTTGGCAAAGGAGAGCTGTCAAAGTGTTTAAAATTTGTTTATAACAGCTTGATTGAAATATAATTCACATACCATAAAATTCACCCCTTTTAAGTATACAATTCAGTGGTTTTTAGTACAGTCACAGTTGTGCAACCATCACCACAATCTAATTTTAGAACATTTTCATCACCTCAAAGAGAAACCCTACACCCATTAATAGTCACTCTTAATTCCCCCACCCCACAGCCCCTGGCAACCGTTACTAATCTACTTCCTGTCTCTATGGATTTGACTATTCTGGACATTTCATATAAATGGAATCAAACAATATGTGGGCTTTTGGGTCTGGCATCTTTCACTTAGCATGTTTTCAAGATTCATCATGTTGTAGCATGTATCAATGCTTCATTCCATTTTATAGTTGAAAATATTATATGTGTATATCACATTTTATTTACCCATTTATTAGTTGATGGACATTTGGGTTGTTTACAGTTCTTGGCTGTTAAGAATAATGCTGCTATGAACATTTGTGTACAAGTTTTGGTGGACCTCTGTTTTCACCTCTTTTGTGTACAAAGTGTGATCACAAAATACGGTTAGTGTTTAAATAAAAAAAAATTTATTACAGTGAAAGACACATTGCCATTAATCCCCCTCAGATTACTCCCCCTCGCTTCGAACGCACTTCTCCCATTTGACAGAAATTGCCTTGCTGGAAGCGATGTGTGACACAGAACGTTGTCATGATGGAGTATGAAATAAAGACATGAAAGAGGACTTCCAGAACTTGCTTCAGAAAGTGGCAAGAATGATGGGATACGTGTGTTTGAAGTGAGGGGGAGTAACCTGAGGGGGGTTAATGGCAATGTATCTTTTACTGTAATGATTTTTTAAGATTTAAACATTCACTTTATTTTTTGATCACACCTCGTATACCTTGGAGTGACATTGCTGTCAGCAGCCAAACCACTTAGCATTTTATGATCCCACTAGTGATAAGGATTCTAATTTTTCCACAGTCTCTTTAATATTTGTTATTATCTGTATTTTTTATGTTAGCCATCCTAGTGGGTGAGAAGTGGTATCTCATTGTGGTTTTGATTTGCTTTTCCATAATGACTAATAATGTTGAGCATTTTTTTCATGTGCTTATTTTTGGCCATTTGTACACCTTTTTTGGAGAAATATCTATTCAGATCCTTTGCCCCTTTTGAATTGGATTGTTTGTCTTTTTAATGTTGAATTGTAAGAATTTTGTAGTTCTAGATACAAGTCCCTTATCAAATATATGACTTGAAATATTTTCTCTTATTCTGTGGGTTGTTTTCGTACTTTTTTGTTGGTGTCTTCTGAAGAACAAAAGTTTTGTTTTTGTTTTATTTTCTGGAGCATCAATTTATCACAAGATTTGGAAGAACCCGGTACTTTAATAAGAACCACCACATCCCACAAACATGGAAGAAAAGAGCAGGGGTGGGGAGAAGGGCCCCAGGAACAACAGTCCAGCCTCTGAAGTTTCACCCAGGTGGGGGCCAAGGGGTGGACTTGCAGTGAGGTCGGCTTCTCCTCTTGTCCCCCAGGGGGCTCCAGGCCGTCCTCGAAGCTCGCCAGGTATTTTGGGTATGGTGCTTCTTAAGGCCGCAGACATGCCGGGTACCATCCTGATTTGAATCTGGTGCAAAGAACACTGGGGCAGTTTGCACTCCTCCATCATTCGCCAGACCCAGTCCTTCACACACAGCGTGCACTCCTTGCACTGCTCCCAGCCATAGCTGTTTGCGTCCAGCCTCTGGCTGATCTCCCGCACCATGTGCCCAGCCTCCCTGATGCTCAGCATTTTTTGAGTTCAGCATTTAAATGCAGAAAGAGTGGCTTTACCTTCCCAGAGTGTTTGACTGTGGCCCTGCCTTGGCCGTCCACCAGTTAAGCTTTACATTGGCTTTACTTGGTTCCACCTACCATGTTGCTTCTTGGTGGATGGCCAATAGCAGAGGTGGCTTAAAATAAGGGTCAAGAACCTCCTAGGGGGCCGGCCTAGTGGCTCAGTTGGTTAACAGTTGGCTTGGGAGTGCAAGCTCTGAGCAGCAGGGCTGCCAGTTCGGATCCCATATGGGCCAATGACACTGTGCCCTCTACAGCTAAGATTGTGAACAACAGCTCAACCTGGAACTGGGCTGCGGTGAGTGGCTGGCAACGGCCGTAGTGGGGCTGCAGTGGGTTGCCATGAGCTACCATGATTGGCTGGCATCTACTGTGAGTGGCCGGCAGTCAGCATAAGTGGCCGGCAGCTGGTGAGAGCTGCCGTGAGCCACTGTGAGTGGCCGTCCAATGGCCAGTGGCCGACTGCCTCACCCAGGAAGAGCGCAATGATCGTAATACCAACATGGGCCAGTGAAGCAGTGTCCTCCACAACTAGACTGAAGAACAAAAAAGACAGCAACTTGTCTGTTCCCCTTCCCCAATTCCCCAATAAAATCTTTAAAATAAAAGAACCTCCTAGTTACCCGTCTGTGGCCTGAGGAAGAGGATGGGGTCATACCACAAGGATGTCCAGCATGGAGTAATTCTTCCATGACTGAGCTGGTCCTCGACTCATCCCTGCCTTGGCAAACACAGGTTCTCAACACAGGGCTGCGTTGAGGAGTGCTGTACCCCAACTCTGTGCTAGGTTGGGGAGTGCTGAATTCTGGGCTGGGTTGAAGAGTTCTGGTGCTCAATTCTGGCCTGGGTTGGGGAGTGCTGGTGCTCAATTCTGGCCTGGGGTGGGGAGTGCTGGTGCTCAATTCCGGCCTGGATTGGGGAGTGCTGGTCATCGATTCTGGCCTGGGGTGGGGAGTGCTGGTCCTCAGTTCCAGCCTGAGTTGGACAGTGCTGGTCCTCCCTTCCTGGCTGGTTTGCGGAATGTTGGTGCTCCGTTCCGGGGTGGGTGTGGAAGTGGTGTTCCTCGACTACAGGCTGACGGGAGAACTGGCAGGCTCTCTGGCCTGATGGCCTTATGGCTGAACCTTGCGGGTTGGGGAAGGCCTGGGACAGTTCAAGTCCGAGCCACAGAAGGGCCTAACTTTAATGGTGCAGCCCTTTACCTGGGCTTTGTTGGAGATGAGGATCAGGTACGTGCCTATCAGTCTGTCCGTATCTCCTGTGTGTCACTGACTCCTCAATATGCTCCCGCTCAAACCCCATTTTCATCTTCTGGGTTACCCAGGGGTGCATGTTCTCACAGGGTGGCTAGATGTATAGCCTGAGTTCCCCTTTTTGGCCCCAGTTTAGTCATCGGTCCTTTATCAGGTTTTGTAGCAATGGCTCTGTCACTGGGGTTGATGGTCATTAACTTCTTTAAGATCATGAAGCAGTGATAGGACATGGAAGAGGGCACATGGAAGCGCCCTCTCAGGACCTGCTGCTGGAGCATAAAGAAGCATCTTTCTGCGAACGGCACGGTCCCAGTGACCATCCTATAGAGCAGCACTCCCAGCTCCACACGTCTATCCCAGGGCCTTCACAGTTTTGGCCCAGGAAGAGCTGTGGGGCAACATAAGAGAAGTTGCCACAGAACATAGTTGGCTTACAGCCAGTGCATTCCTTTTTGAGGCCAAAGCCTATAATTTTTACATTCAGTTCTGAATCTAGAAGCACGTTCTCTGGTTTCAGGTCCCTGTGCACGACATCCTGCTGATGGCAGTACAGCATGGTGGGTACCAGCTGCCGGAACATGCCTCGGGCCTCGTTCTCACTCAGGCAGCCATGGTGTTTCAGGTAACGGGTGCACGTCCACTCCGTGCACAAGCTCCATTACCAGGAACAGTCTTTGCTTCATTTCAATGATCTCAAATAACTTCACAATGTTTGGGTGGTTTAATAGCCTCAGACAAGGAACTTCTAACTGCCTGCACGAGCCCTGCTGGTGAATGGCTTTCACAGCCACCTTTGCCCCTGTCAAAAGATGCCGGGCCAATGTCACCTTGGCAAAGCTTCCCTGGCCAGTGGTGTTCATGAGCTTGTAGTGGTCAATATTGGGTTCCTTGTCAGTAGAGGTGGCGCTAAGTTCATTGGACATGGTGACCGGCTACCTACGCTAACAGATAATGCTAACTGTCAATGCTACCTA